CCAGATCCTGTCTGGTCCTTCTCGAAGCTACCTGATCGAATGAAATGCGCCCAGCGTGAAGCGAAGCGATGCTCATTCCTCGGGACCGGTAAGTCATCCGCCTGATCCATGTCGTACCCCATCGTGCCACGAAGTGAGACCACCCATTCATCATGGACAGGACTCCTGGTCGCTCGCTTTGTGCTGCTCTACTTACCTTACCCTACATCCATTCACATGGCTCTCAATTATGCATGACATCCATTTCCGAATAATACTTGCTAGCTCTGAACTGCGATGGAGCCCCTTGTCATTCATTAGAATTATCATTACACGTCGCTTCTGGGCGAATCAGAGAGGTGTGTAGCTTTAGTTCGATCGTCGATTGATGTTCGAGAAAAAACCTTGCTCTACGTGATGTATGTTCACCGAACATTCCACCGGCTCACTGATGTGTTGTGTGCTTCCCGAGGCCACTAAACTCAGCGAGTCTAGCGTCACTAACAAACTGGACATTTTAATCAATGTCATTAGCCTAATGCTATGTATGCCATTACGTCGTTGATTGGGAGGGGATACGGTTCGTGAGTTAAGTAATCAAGTCATAGCGAGGTGAAGAGTGTGCTTTCTATTCTAGGCCACATCATATAGCTCGTTTAATCAAGAGGGCCAACGAACTAATAATGTACTACACCACTTGCATGTAAACGAAGTTGTGTATTAAAGTATTATCAATCTGGGTGTAAATCCCAGGTTGCAGGCAATCTAAATACTAAATATCAATCTATATTAAAAAGGACGAGACCGAGTCTCAACGGCACAACATAGGCATACGATACGTCTTTAGCGCACGTCGAGGTAAAAGTTGATAGCACAAAACTACCGTAGGATCTACAGATAAAGGGCATATGTATAAGTTCACATTCTCACGGGCGAGGTTCTGGAACATCAATGTCAAGGGGGACAGGAAATCGATGGTACAGGGTAGGTTATAACTCGTGGTTCAATTTTCACTCTTGGCTGCACTATCTTAGCATTCTTAAGTGCTCTGGCTGTCGAGATCTAATTAATCAATCGGGACCCATGAGAAAGAGCAGTGTTCTACGGGAGCTGGCGGGCCGTGCTTCGATCTCTCAAAGCTTGCTCACCACGTCGCTCTTCTTCCCGGCACAGCAGGAGCCAACCTGCTGCTTCTGGCTGAAGGCATTCTTGGACGACTTGTCGACGGCAACGTCCGAGGGCGGCACCCAGAGTGCCGGGTTCCTGACGAAGAAGTTGGAGGCCCGTAGCATCACGCTCACGGGCTCCCCCGGCATGATGGGGAAGTCCTCGGTGCGGGGGAAGTGGGTGAGGCCGAACTGGATGTAGCAGACGATGTCGGTGTTCTCAATCGACTCGTCGCGCGCGACCCAGTCCTCGACGGTCTTGTTGTGGGGGTGGTCGAGGTCGCCCGCGGACTGGCAGACGTAGTCGCCGGCGGGGAAGAGCTCGTAGTCCCGGTAGGGCACGACCCAGAGGGCCTTGCGGGCGAAGGCGGCGCGCTTCCAAACCATGCTTCCAGGTTTGGCGAGGAGGGCCGGGCTGTTTGGGTTGAGGATCTTGTAGGCCACGGGCTTCTTGGCCGAGGGGTTGAGGCTGCCGGGGTTGATGATGTCCCAGGAGCGGCTCGTCTCGGCGCAGTAGCTCGCGGCGGCCTCCTTGGAGGTGCGGAGCGGCGTCTTCTTGCAGTAGAAGCCGTTGCCATACATGTTCTCAGCGGAGCCCAGGGGGGCCTCCGCAAGCATGGCGTCGCTCTGCAGGATGGAGTTGTTGGGGCCGTCGATCTCGGGGTCGACGCGCAGAGAGAAGATGTGCTGGTGGTTGTGGGCGTTGATGGCTGGCGCAACCTCGGCACCGAAGGGAGAGGCGGATTCGGATGGGTGCATGCAGTAGGTGTTGAGCATGCCGGTCAGTTTCATCTCGAGCTTGTAGGTCCCGTCCAAGGTGAAGGTGTGGTAGAAGGCATACTCGTAGTTGGCTGCCGTGATGATCTGGGAGATGATGAGCTTCCTATCACGGGCTGAGATGACAGTGCCGTCGCGGTAATCGGTATGCTTGTAAAGTAGGCCATTGTCCTCCTCGTGAATGCAGATGGCGTTTTCGATGATGGCTGGCTCGCCAGATCGGGTCGCCATGATGGCATCCATGTAGTGGATGACGCCCTTGCAGTCACATCCAAGCTTCAAAGAGTTGGTCATCAAACCAGTGCCGTACTCGCCGACATCAAAGGCATGCTTCCTGTGGTGCGGCGTGTCCGGGTTGCCGTAGGGCACAACCATCTCAACCACACTGATGCGGTTGAAGAGAGTGCGCTCGCGCTGCTCGTGATGGTCGTGAACACGGACATCTGAGAGGACGATGCCCTCGCGGTAGTTGAAACCAATGTGCATCTTGTAGCCTGCCCAAGAGATCTCATTCCCATCCATCTGGAACGAGACACCCTCGGGCTGGGTAATGTCAATGGGCTTTAGAAGCTGGTCATTGTAGCCGTCACCGATAAACTCGGGCATGTAGTTATGCTCGAGGAACGACGGCTTGGTGCGCTCACCGTTGACGAGACGAATGTCAACGGTGAGAACCTCCTCCTTCTCAGTATCGACGACGACTGAAAAATCCAGCGGGTGCGCATACTGGTTGTCGAACCTGGAGTTGCGGAAGTAGACGATGCCCTGCTGAAGACGGCGCTCCATGCCCCAGCGGTGATCGAAGCCGACGGCCCAGGCATCGATGAAGACCAGGGACATGTCGGTGATGCCAATGTCGTTGCAGGCCTGGATGACACGGGGGTCTTTGAGGGCCACCTGCTCACACACGTCGAGGTCCTCGAGGGTCAGGGTCGGAGCCACCTCGGACACTGGATTCCAGCTCTCGACGACTGACTGCTTGAGGTTGACAACCACCTCGGCCACATTGACTGAGCCCAACTCAAGGATAATGGCGAAGGCGCGGCGGTCCGGGCGGGGGCCACTTCCATTGCGAAAGGCAGCATACTCGGCCTTCTTGGGCTCACGGAGAGTCAGGCAATTGAACTTGACAGCCTTGGGAGCAGCATGATCGCGAATAATCTTGGCAGCGACGCGAAGCTCTTCAATCGATAGCTGATCTAAAACAGGGTCGGTGTCAATACGTTGCTCACTGTGCCGGACGGAGGAGCGAGCAAAAGTCGCAACTTACCGAGAGGATGGGCTAAGGGCTGCTTCGACAGATCGGGAGCGGCGTCGTTGGGCTCTTCCCGAAAGATGGTGTATCCGGCTATGGACGAGGTGTCGGCAATCATGGTGAGGGTTGTCTGGGCTTAGCGACTGTGCCATACAAAAGGTTTTTGGTGGTCTCTTGAAACAAGAGAGAGCAGGACTAGAGTGGATGGAGTGAGGCGATGAGCGGGTTGCTTGGAATGATGAGTATTGTGTGCGGTTCTTTGTGTGCTTGTTGTGACGAGAGGAAGATGGACGGGAAGCAATCGAGTTAGAGAGGCAGCTAAATATATGTCGGTTTGCATCTACACAGAGCCTCATGGCTAGCTGCCGCGAGTGGAGCGGCCCTTTTTCTTTCCTATTCTAATCGCGTTGAGCATGACTAGACACCAATGGGCGGTGGCACCCGGGGGCCGTATCTTGGCTGTCCATGTCATGCGGCGGTGGCCGTGAGAGAAGAGGCGGAGAGGGAGGAGACTCCGACTGTTGAATAAGCCGTTGAGGAGGCAAGAAACTTGCCTAGTTTGAGAGCCAGTCTGCGGAGCCAGTGCGCGGGACGCCAGAGCAGACCAACCAGAGGCATACCGGCAGGCCTGGGCAGAGTCAGGTGTGCGGCCGCTGGGATCATCTCTGGCCGGCCACGGCATTGGGTCGTCGAACCGTGAGCGACGGTAACCGATACGGCCTCGCTCGCCAGCCAAGCACAGCAGAGCAAGAGCCGGGTTGGCCGGCACCGGCAGAGGCAGAGGCACACGACGAATCCAAATCTGGCAACATAAAGGGCCTCGCCCCCACCCTCCAGCCGAGCCCCGTGAATCGCCCTCATAGACCGACGGCGGTGTGGCGGAAGCGATTGAGGCCAGGATGAATGCAGCAAGTAAATGGGCGACGACTACCCCGCAAAAAAGCTGACGCTCAAGCTGGAAATCTCTGGGGATGGTCAAGTTATCACGTAATGAGAATGGTTCCCCAGTTTCACCCTGTCCGCTGCCTTCATTTCGTCCATCACTGCTGTGAGGTGTTGCTCGCCCAAGACACTATGTATGTGGTGATGGTTGGCCGACCATGCTCCTTTGGGTAGGTTTTCAGTCCGTCCTCCCTTAGGCTCGATCCTGGCGGCACCGACTGGCGGTCGCTATGTACATACATACGGGAGATGTGAGAGAGAGAATCACCAAGCTGGCCGGTCTGCGTAGGAACATGCGTCGCACCACTCATAGCGTGGTTCATCGGGTGACCGCTGCCCTGATCAACTCGCGTTGTTTCTGATCGAGCCGTGCCGTGTCCCTCAGAGGCAGCCCTCGCACGCAGGGTACTTATCGGTTATGGGGAAAGAAAGTTACCTAAAGGAAACTAGACCTCTGGGAGGGAGGGGAATGGAACAGGTACCGCCCGGCACCGTTCAAATGGAGAGATACATGCGGAAGCTGAGCAGAGTTTTGTGGTAGCATGGTAATTGGTTAGGTAGGTACCTTATCTGGACCCTTGTCTGCGCCCAATTTCGTGTCTTGCAAAAGAACTCCATCCCTCAAACAGACGTGTAACTTCCGTGTAGGGATCTACACGTACGTCGGCATGCTATATATATGAATGCCGTTGCGCCCTCTTCGCCCCTCTACTGTTCTGGGTGACCTATTGGAAACGACCATAAGGCCGTGTTGACTCACTTTAACTTTTAATCCTCCATCAGCCTCATATTCTTTAGCGAATGTATTCCCTGGGCGATCCTCCTCTCTGTTATACTCATCACAGACCCAGCACGCCTCGCTGAGACCACTTCTCTCCACAATGGATCCCGACAGAGAATCGCAATCGCCTCGCAAGGAAACCGACCAGGCAGCTCAAGATGCCGACGATCTCGCCGGCCTGGGCCACTCCCAAGAACTCACTCGCAAGTTCAGCTCCTGGAGCATGTTCTTCCTCGCCTTCACAGTCCTCGGAACATGGAGTACCTTTGCTCAAGGGCTCAACAGTGGTCTGACGAGTGGCGGGCCTGTGACCATTCTATGGGGGCTCATCCTCGTCACATTTTGCAATATTTGTGTCGCCGTCTCTCTGGGCGAGCTATGTAGTAGCATGCCGACCGCTCTCGGTCAGGCCTACTATGTCTCGCGCCTGTGGCCAGGTGGCTGGGGCCGGTTCATGTCCTACATGTGTGCTTGGATCAATACGTTTGGCTGGTGGACGCTGTCTGCCTCTCAGCTCACTTTCATGACCAACTTCATCTTGAGCATGAAGGTCTTGTATACTCCAGACTGGCCCGAGGCCAGCGTCGGCTGGATCAACTTCCTGCTCTACCTTGGTCTCACGGCCCTCGTCACTCTCGTCAACGTTGTTGCCTGCCGTCGCGACGCAGTGCTCCCCTTTATCAATAACTTTGTAGGAGTATGGTTTGTCGTTCTCTTCTTTGTCTTTTGCCTGGGCCTCCTCATCTCGGTAGGCGTCAGGGAAGGCCTCACATATCAACCTGCTTCGTTTGTATTTGGCACTTGGCTCAACCAGACCGAGTGGAATGACGGGGTCACCTGGTTCTTGGGCCTGGTCCAGGCGGCATATGGCCTGACTGCATTCGACGCAGCAGTTCACATGGCCGAGGAGATTCCCGCCCCCAGAAAGAACGTGCCTCGTGTCCTATGGCTCTCCGTGACTGCAGGCGCCATCTCTGGCTTCATCTTCATGGTTGTCTGTCTGTTCTGTATCCAAGACCTCGATGGTGTCCTGGAGCCTTCGACCGGACTCCCCTTTATGGATTTGCTGGACCAGGCCATGGGACTTAGCGGCGCAACAGTCTTGCTTTCGCTCTTCATCTTCAATGGGCTGGGCCAGGCTGCCAACATCATCACCACCGGCTCTCGTCTGACATGGGGCTTTGCACGGGATGGGGGTTTCTTGTGGAGTGATTATTTTGGCCATGTCGACCACTACTGGAAAGCCCCCGTGCGCTCCCTGTGGCTCCAGGGCGCCATCATCGGATTGGTCGGCGTCCTCTACACATTCGCCAATACGGTGCTGGAGGCCGTCCTTAGCGTGTCTACCATTGCCTTGACGGTGTCCTATGGAATGCCCATCCTGGCGCTGTTGGTTGTTGGTCGGGACAAGCTGCCCCCTGGCGGAGAGTTCTCTCTGGGGCGGCTTGGGCCGGTAGCCAACTGGATCTCGGTCATCTACTGCGTTGTCACTACGGTGTTCTTCTTTTTCCCTTCGGCGATGAACCCATCACCTGCCGATATGAACTATGCCATTGCGGTTTTTGGCGTCATGTTGGTTGTCTCGGTAGCCCTCTGGTTCATCCGGGGAAATCGCACATATCTACGGACGGCGGGGGCAGAGGAGCGAGCTGTGCACGCGAGGGAGTTGGAGATGTCGCACCTCCAGGGGGTGGCGAGCGGGGAAGGTGAAAAGCCACAGGAGCTTGAGACCAAGCTGGAGAAGGATCACCTGAAGGAGTGAGATGGAGATGCTGGGTTAGCTGGCGACTACTTGATCATTACTTTGCGGCACCTTGTCTTGTTCTTTGCTTCTCGGCATTCGGCCGACAGAGGTGGTTTTCTAGATATTATGCATACCCATAGTAATATTCCCTTGTTTCCAACAGCCTGCAAGAGTAGGATAAGAGTAGATATGGCTTCTATCAAATCCTAAGTATTATAATCATCCATTGGTCATAGCATCTTCGTTTCTGGCTTCCTCGAGTGGTCGATGGGCCGTGTGGCAGCCTCCAGCAATTTCTGGCCTCCCTTGCATTAATTATGAGCAGCCAATACCGAGCCGGCCGAGTCATGTCCAGGCATGTTCGACGTTATGCCCAACCAGGCAACTTTATTGGTCAATCTAGACCGAGATAGCGTAGAACTTGGGTGATTCCTTGGTTGGTCCAGCCTGATCCTTGCCCCATCCGCTTATCCTGCATTCGCATAAGCACAATAATCAGGGTGGCACACTGGTTAAGTGGCTCGTACTCTCCCTCGTCCTTCCATCCCTCTCCCGAGATCGTTCACATACATCTGCAAGGAGACAACTAAGCAACCTTGCTCGTGGCTGACGTAGCCTGGTTTCTGTTGGGTAACAGATATCACCCATTGGCTGTCAAATCAATCAGTCAATCAATCAATTACCCCAGGCTTCTCTCACTTCACCTGCTCCTCTTTTCCAGCCGGTTCCCCGCAATCCAAATCTCTGATTCCTTCTCCACGCCCGACAGACAGGTTGTGTGCGTCCTTGATCGCTGCCCCCCTGGACCTCTGTCGGTGAGAAACACCAGCAACTATCTGTTCGCCATCTCTTCCTGGACCCTGCTCTGTGCTTGTCGCCTTTGGACGACAGCGAAAACACCATCACGTCGATTGACGATTCAGTACGCTATCTAGCTTCCTACCTTTCTCCATCTTCTCGCCCCCTTCCCCCCTGGATGGTTATGTATAAGGCTTCTTACGCCCCTCGGTTGCCCCGGCCACATATGGAGGGTACAGACTCTCTCAAGTTGTATTTCTTGGCTGAACTGTTGAAACGCATACACTCTTGCAGTTGCCGTCGCTAGTATCGCTCGCTCAACGCATTGCACATCTTTTGGATAAACAGTCAGTGATTGACTATTGAACTTGCGGTGCTGGTTGCGCAGATGGCGAGGATACGCGTTGTGGCAGGCTCCTGCTGGCCCTGCAAAAAGAGACGTGTGAGATGCGATCTGGAGAAGCCTGTTTGCCAACGATGTCTCCAGGCCGGGGCAACCTGCGACTACAACACCCGTTTGATCAGGTGGAGTTCACGACCAAGTGCTCGGACCGTGCCAAGTATCATGCAAATTGCTGGTCTGGGTCGGGATGGGCTGGGTGCCAGAGAGCAGCGCGCCCTGGATTATTTCCACGGTCGCGTCTGGCCTCTACTTCAAACGTCCGAGGAACCTTGTGCGCCCCCTCTTCCCGTTGCTATACAGCATCGTGTTGTTCTGCTAGCGACATGTGTGCTCGCAGACTCCCATCGCTTACTCCAGGACGGCAAGGATCATGATGGATCGTTGAACACGAAGCGGCTCGAGTGCTTGGCCGCCATCCGTTCGGAGGTTGATGGATGCTGCGCGCAAGGAAATAATAGTACTGGCCTCCCACATGTTCTCCTTTTCGCAGTTCTCCTTCTCCATCTTCATGACGGCTTCATGGAGCTTGCGGGCCATGTCGCGTCAACCTCAAGCCACCACAAAGGCGTGCTGGCCATTCTCGGCCAGCTGGGCGGTCTCGAGCCTGTGTTGCGTACCAGCCAGGAATCTTTGCAGATGCTTCTCTCCGAGTTTGTTTCGGCTGACCTGACCAGTGCGTTGCTTCAAGGAATTGCGCCTTCATATCCCCCCGCCGCCTGGCACGTCATTGATCAGGGGGCTGTCTGGTGGGGGCGTGATCCTCTTGGTCGATACTCGCTCGCCTTTGTCCTTCGCGAGATGTCTGCCATGGCCTTCTATCACGACTCGCTCGTCAATGGACAGTTCTCGCTATGCATGGATGAGGTCCATTCGTTTGAGGAAGCCTTCCGTCCAGTGTACGCGCCTGTTGCGATGCCCATGCCGGATTCGCCATCGGAGCCCGAAGCAGGACCGCTTCAATGTCTCAGCGAGAGAGATATCGAGGCTGTTCATGCCTTTGCGCTGATCCGGACTTTTCAACACACGGCGCTAATCTTCCTCTATCGTGCCATCTGTGGACTACCCACTCTTCACCCCCTCGTGCAGCAGCATGTCCGGTCGTGTTTAGATTGCATCATGGAGATTGAACGGTCATCAAAACTGCTTCATTGTGTCATCTTCCCTCTTTGCGTCGCGGGTGCTCATGCTCAGTCGCCCGATTCTCAACATGAGGTCTTGAGCATGACGAACATGATATACGATAACATGCGGTTTGCCTCGGTCAAAGCCGTTTCGCAGGTTTTGACTTCCATCTGGACCACTCAGACATCTCTTGATCTCACATGGACGGAGCTCTTTGCGCAGCTTAGTCCTCACGTGCTTGTGCTATAGGGGCCGGTACGGTGCAGCCAGTAGATGAAGCACGGCTTCCGCTTGAAGGGAGGGAGGGACAAGAGTAGGACCGGCAATTTCTTGTGGACAATGTTGGCTTCTGGTGTGACCGGTATGATTTGTGTGCAAGACCGGGTTCATGCCTGCCTACGGATATGCAGTGAGTGAATCAAATTGATGACAGTACCTCCCCGCATAAGAAATGCTTCTAGTATATATCCGAGGGCTAGATCACAAGCCAATGCAGTTCACTCAAGGTACAATCCACGGAACTGGAGCCACCCATTTGATGATGGTGTGGTCGTAGAACGGAGGCGTGAACGTAAGGATGCCCTTGCCAGAAAGCGGGGTAACCGAAACGGGAAAGTTTTTGGACCAACGCAAGCCCCACTCTTTGTTGGCCGATCGGCGCTATCGCTCAACGGGCAACTCCGACGGCCACCAAAGTTGAGCCTCAGATCTCCCCAATTGCGAGATGATAACTGCAGATATCCGGGAGCCGGCTTACGTACAAGAATAATCACACCGGCTGGGGACAGACATCTGACGCATCTATCTTGGGTAGTTACTAACATAGCTGGGGCATATTTCTTTCCGTTTTGGTATTGAACGCCACTTGAACGACATTGACTCGTCCGTCACATGCGCGTTCATCCACCCATTCCCCAGACATAGAGAGAATTATTACTTATACTCAGTATGGCCGGTCGGTTGGCAGCTGTGGGGTAATTATTGGATTGTCATTTATTTGCTTCCTTCGCTTGAGAGTCGGTGTCTATTATCTACAACGCATATCAGTCCCTTCTCGTTTCTACTTGTGTCCTCTTTCCATCAGTGTCTACCTTTCCTACCAAAATCTCATAGTGCGAATTTATAATCCACCATGTCTCTTTTTACAAATCTCCAAGCCCCAAACGGGCGCAATTACGAGCAGCCTACTGGACTTTTCATCAATAATGAGTTCGTCGCATCATCCTCTGGCCAGACGATCACCTCAATAGACCCTGCGTAAGTAGCTTCCGAGGGGATGGGACCAGCATCTTATATTCATCCAAAACACTGACCTGATATTTTCGCGCCCCTTCTTCAGCACAGAGAAACCTATCGTAACTGTACAGGCTGCTAGCGCACAGGATGTTGACAAGGCCGTCAACGCCGCACACAAGGCTTTGCGCCATCCCTCATGGTCTGATCTACCTGCTACTGACCGCGGCCGGCTTATCGCCCGCCTTGCCGATCTGATTGAGGCCAACGGCGAACTCTTTGCCACTATTGATGCCTGGGACAATGGTTTGTGACCCCGTCGAGCTGTCGTTTACAATGACTTCTTGCGCCAAATTGTGCTCCGACGCTGACCAGAGATTCTATTTAGGCAAAACCTACAAGGAGGCTTTGGAGGGCGATGTGGTCGAGGCTGTCACCACTATCCGCTACTACTCTGGGTGGGCAGACAAAACATTTGGACAAACTATCAACACAAACAAGCACAAGCTTGCGTACACCATTCGTCAGCCTATCGGTGTTGTGGGTCAGATTATCCCTTGGAACTATCCTCTCTCCATGGCGTCCTGGAAACTGGGCCCTGCTCTGGCCTGCGGAAATACAGTCGTGATCAAAGCTGCTGAACAGACGCCCTTGAGTATCCTCGTTCTAGCCCGCTTGATAAAGGAGGCCGGCTTTCCCCCAGGTGTTGTTAATGTGATCAACGGGCTGGGAAGAGAGGCTGGCTCTGCTTTGGTCGAACACCCCTTGGTTGATAAGATCGCATTCACAGGCTCAACGGCTACGGCTGCTCATATCATGGATGCTGCCGCTAAGACTCTGAAGAACATCACGCTTGAAACAGGCGGCAAGTCGCCGCTGATCGTCTTCGATGATGCGGATCTTGAGCAAGCAGTCAAGTGGTCCCATTTTGGCATCTTTTCTAACCAAGGCCAGATCTGCACTGCGACGTCTCGCATCCTTGTGCAGGATACTATCTACGACAAGTTCATTCAGAAGTTTATAGACACCGTGAAGACTGTCAGCCGGGTAGGCAACCAGTGGGATGAGAGCACATATCAGGGCCCTCAAGTTTCCGAGGCACAGTACAACCAGATCTTGAAGTACATTGATATCGGGAAGCAAGAAGGCGCCGTTGTTGCTGCTGGGGGCGAGCGATTGAACCTTTCTGCCGATGGGAAAGGCTTCTTCATCGCGCCGACGGTATTCACGGACGTAAGCCCTTCTATGAGGGTTTTCAATGAAGAGATCTTTGGTCCTGTTGTGGCTATTTCCCGCTTTGGAACGGAAGAGGAGGCATTGGCTCTGGCAAATAACTCCAAATACGGTCTTGGCTCAGCTGTTTTCACAACTGACCTCGAAAAGGCACACCGCGTTGCTGAGAAAATAGAGGCGGGCATGGTCTGGATCAACAGCAGCCAAGATTGCGATCCAAGAGTACCTTTTGGAGGTGTCAAGCAGAGTGGAATTGGTCGAGAACTTGGAGAGGCAGGACTGGAAGCCTATTCACAAATCAAGGCCGTGCATGTGAATTTGGGGAGTAAGCTATAAAAATTATATGAAATGATCACAAGGTTAAGCTCTGCCCATGGAGACGAACAGAGAGAATAGATCTGAATTACCAAACGGTTGTAACCTCAAATTGACGCCCATATTAATCTATCTGGGTTCACTTAACATGAAATACACTATCGTAAATGTATAATTATTGAGCTACCCAAGATGGCTTTATGGTTGCGAAGAACATCGCGGGATTTGTTTGGATCCGTGCATCTTTGCATCTCTGCATCTTGCGCATGAGCTTCACGCAAACCACGGTGGACCCACAGATTTCGCAACCGCGGCTGCCACGAGTTTCTGGATTTCGATCCCAGGATGATAGTTATCCTTCCACAGGCAGCTCTTACCATCCGAGTTGTAGCAGGTAGCATCCGGGGCTCCATAGCGAGAAGGATTGTTAATGGCCTCATTGAAAGGACCTGTTGTATCGACAACCCATGAAGTTACACCGGAATTCTTCGATTTGAAAGAGGCCAGGTTAGTCGATATAAGGTTATTGTAGAATGATATCGTGTTTGCAAGTTGTATGTTGGAAGCCTCCCCATTTGCAAGCATCAGAGGAGTTTTTTGTGTTGCTACATCAGCCGTTAGAAGTTACGCCTGCAACTTTGGTTCTTGTGAGGAGAAAATGGACAGAGAGCGGAAAGTTGAACTTACGGGGAACTCCCAGAAGCACAAATTTCCTCACGCCGGCGTTGTACATGATTTGGAGCTGCTCGAAGTACCGCCCTAGCACTTTGGTGATGAGAGCCTCCCAGCCATCCAGATAGAAAGCATTCCCAACATCATTAACGCCCATCCAAACGCCGACCAGAGTGTTATCTGATGTCCATGGGGCATAGCTAGGCTTTGAGGCCAGATTATTCGAGAACTTGGTCGTTTGATCGATGAAACTCAGGACTGTTGGGGACCAAGGAGCAATCAGCTCTGCATCTGTAGTGGCACCTCCATCTGCTAGGTTGTATGAGTACACGAGGCTTGCATTGTAGTTGGTTACCAAGAAACCGAGCCAATTGAGACCCCCCGTAGTAGTCCATCCAGGGAGGTCGGGGTTTCCGAGAGGGTTAGATGGATTAGGCTTCGTGCCAGTGATATCGAACCCAGTCTGAGAGTATGAGTCTCCGCTAGATGACGAAAATGACGCACTGATTAGTATAGACACGTATCTTGAGGCCACAGCTCCTTTTTGAGGTTAATTAGCATACAATGTGATGAAATATCTGGCTGCGGAAGGGTTGCTCGTGGTTGTTGTCTGTGTTGTCGTCGTTGTAGTTGTCACTGGAACCACCGAAGTAGTAGTAAAAGATGTTGGAGCCGCGGTACTGGGGACGCATTGATCTAACCCACAATTCAGTCATTGAACATTGAACATTATAAGCCTCCCATTTCCCAGGACAACTTACAATACCAAGGGTTTTGAGAAGAACAGACCGATCCTGCTGTACAGCTGGTAGGGCCACTGTAGCCATTCCCACCACACTGGCCATAGACTGGCACTTGAGCGTTAGATCCTAGCACAAGGCCTAAAACGGCGGTTGCTGTGATTTTGAAGCCAGACATCATGTGATGGAGATTTTCCCAACAATTTTCGATCAGAGCCGGTCAACTTCATCGCATCAGGGAGTCTACATGACGACAGATAGAGGGAGCTTATATATCTTCTTCCCTAAAGTGACACTTTCTACGGTGAGAAGAATATTCCAATATTCGGCCTTATATTGATTCAATTAGTCTACTTTTGGAGAAGCTTTGACATGCTGATTGGCGGGAAAAGGCGTCAATTCGTTGTTCTTCGGTGCCTTATCCCGGGGATCCGCGCCTAAAACGTGTCCTGAACCCTGTCAATGTAGTAACGTCCCACCCGGACTAAGAAGGTCGCTTCTGGAATTCATTGATGAAAAAGATAGAAGTATTGGATAGATATCAGCCAGAATATGTTGATGCGGGGTTTTCCTAGAAGGGCGATCTTCCTTGGTAGCCGAAAAGGGGAACGGAGGATGTCGTCGGCTGCTCGGCAACTTGGCCGAACTCGGTCGACATGAATGTGTGCGTATAAAGGGTAAGTCTTATACTACTCTCTCATGAGTAGTTAACTGTTCAATAACTGAGATTCACGTATTTCTGAAGGCATGAGTTGTGTATCTGGGAATACTATGATCTAGCTTTCATTTGTAGTCTCCAGAGGCAAAGTTTGAGCCCAAACCAACTGATTTCAATACCAATAGCCTCCAGGTCTTGAGATGGAAGATTTATCAGTGCTGGACTCTCCTCGTGGCTTACGAAGAACCATCGCTTCAGGTATCATATTGTCCGCACAACCAAACGATGAGCCACTTAGTTCGGAGATAACAGCCCATAAACGAAGAATGAACTAATTCTTGAAGAAAAGTAGACATGTATGATATATGTAAACTCTGGCGATCCATAGGCTCTAGGTGAACTAGAAACTGAAACCAGCCGTCTTCAGTTAATTGCTGACTTCTACTATCAGCTGAGAACAATGAGATATTTAGACTATTTCGACAGTCGGTCTAATGTGGATATGTAAAGAGATCTATTACCAAGAGTCTCTTATCAGACATTTTTCTTTTGCAAAGCTGATCCAGGGGTTTCATGGTGTGGCCATTGTCACACTACTTGTAGACTAGCCTTTAGCGATGTGTAGTAGATTTCTCTGTATTCAAATATACGCATAACTGTCTACCATTTCAACTGAGATGGGTAAGCTGCTCGAGATTATTGGCAAACTCGTTCATTATATCATCGCATAGAGTGATGCGAAATGCTTTGCTATATTGGTGGGGTTGGGCTAGGTAATCTTACATGCTCACCAACCCTTTGCCTCTGGCCAATGTCCAAGTAATGCAGTCAATGGTGTAGGGGAAGAGTGAACAAAATGACTGAAGAATGAATATAAAACTTAATGATATTCGGTAGTAATGAGGCACATTTTATTATTGGCCAGCTACTTTCAACAAAAACTTGTAAATAGATTGATCAATGTGATTGGTAGATCATGCTGAGAAACCAGAAGCTATCGGGCGATTTCACTAGGCGTTATTTCTAACAGATACCCTACATTACGAGACACGTTTTGGCTCACCAACCTATGCGCAACTAATTCTCTAATTACTAATGGGCACTTCTCTGGGATATTTCCCTGCCTTTGGACCTGGCATCCTCGGCGTTGAAAGATGATTCCACCAAATGGTTCCCTAGATTTCTTATGTATTTTAGCTAAACCCTATGGGTTATATATTAAGCTTAGCCCTATGGTCGTATGAGGGTTTGTTAGATAGTAAATGGCTGAAATAAACATAGCACATTAAAGCCCTTCTCCCATAAGGAGAGACCAATTTCCTTGTTAATAATATTAAATATAAAAACAACAAAATAGTATATTAATCTACAATATTGAGCTTAATATTATGTTTATTACGAGGTTTGATTGTTTTGCCATTGTGCCGACATTCAACGCTGGAGGCTCTAGGCGTACCATATTTTGTGTCAGTGACAATAAGAGCGGCAACAGCGACAGTGGGAGTGGTTTGAATGGTAAGATGTTCCGATCAAGCAAAGAGAGTCTGCGTACTTGGGCTACCTTATATATACGGGGAACGCTAACATACACGGCTATATGGGAGAAATCCTGAACACAGACCTGACGGCTCTATCTTGTCCAGTAGTCAGGTATGAAAACGTTCCTTCTCGCTGGACGAGTAAACCCATATACGGCCTGCGAAATCACGCCCGCGAGTTCGCATTGTGCACGAAAAACGGGGATGGATACCAACGCCTTCGTGTTTCAGGGTGGAGGATCAATGTGAGCCCGAATTGGTTGATAGCTTTTTGTGCTTGCACCTTTGAATTGCAGCCCCGCCTATCGCGTAATAGGAAGATAATGAACCAAGACTAGACATGGATTGTAGGTGGAAATGGCCTAACACGAAGAGAAACGATATTACTTTGCAAAGCTAGAGACGACTGATGATGAGCAGATGCGATTGTGGAGTTCGATGGCGCAATCGCTGCAAATACTACCTTGAACAGGGGATATTGCAAGGGACTTGTAATCCAAAATGAACCGTATATTTACATCTAAGTCAAGGTTTTCGACTGAGTCAATTTGTTCCAACTCCAGGCAAAACCCTCTACAATTCATTCGCCATGGGAGAACCGCTGAAAGTGCAGCCGTTGGCTTCGGCTACCGCCACTGTGATTGAATCAGACAAGAACCAGCATGATATCAACGAGAATGCCTGGATACGATTGATGACAGTGCTGCATTGGTATCCTAAGGATATGCCCGCAGTCGAGAAGAGACTTGTTCTGAAGTTGGACCTGATGATTCTCATTTACGGCTGCCTTTGCTTCTTTACCAAATATCTAGACCAGGCCTCGCTAACAAATGCCTATGTCACGTAAGTCATCATGTCGTCTCTGTACGATCAATGCACGTAACTAAACTCGAGTCGATCGCCACTTCTAGCGGAATGAAGGAGGAGCTGAACATGCTAGGGAACGAGCTCAACTATGCCACTATTGCGTTTTGGAGCTCGTACTGCGTATCAATGATTCCTGCCTGCTACTACTTAACACGATATCCTGTCAACATCGTCCTGCCCCTGTGCGAGATCGGTTGGGGAATCACAACATTCGGTCTCGCTTGGGCTAGGAATATTGAGACGGTGTACGCGATGCGCTTTTTTGTTGGTCTATTTGAAGCATGCTCCTTTACTGGTGTCATATACGTGATCGGCTCGTGGATGCGCAAGACAGAGATTGCGAGGCGTGTGGCCTTTTTCTACGCTGCCGCGCCTCTAGGAACCATGTTTGCCGGATATCTACAAACAGCGGCATATCGTGGCCTTAGGGGTGTTGGCGGTCTGTCGGGCTGGAGGTGGCTCTTCATCGTCGATGCTATCATCACAATCCCGATTTCGTTCCTGGGATTCTTTGTCTTCCCCGACGTGCCACACCGCAAGAAGCCTAGGTGCCTAAACGAGGAGGAACACAAACTTGCCTGCGATCGTATCGCCGGACAGACGGCTCCATCCCAGCTCAAGGTGTCCAGGGATATTTTTGCCCGCGTGTTCCGTCGATGGCACTGGTATCTATTTGTGGCCCTATGGTCCATTGGAAACCAGAACAACCAGGTTTCAGGCACGCCATTTAGTTTGTACCTCAAGGGGAATTCAGACATCTACTCCATTACGCAAATCAACACGCTGCCGACGGTGGCGACTGCCATCTCCATCATTACGGCATTTGTCACCTGCACAATCGCGGATCGCATTGAACGGTTTTGGCCAATGCTCTTAACCGTAACCATTCCCGTGATTGTTTCACATGCACTGCTGGTGGCGTGGGATGTGGGCGAATCTGGAAGGCTTGCAGCCTTCATGATATCCGGTGTAGAGGGTGGTTTGTTCCCTCTTAGCATGTCATGGGCGACCGTGACGATGGCCAATGATGCCGAGGAGAGGGCAGTGGTCACGGCCAGTATGAATGCTATCGGACAGGCAATTGTGGCCTGGAGCCAGCTTTTACAGTTTCCGGCCATCGAGGCCCCCAGGTTTGAGACTGGGTTTCTCAGCGGCCTTATTACTTCCGTGGTGCAACTTGGGATAATCGGGCTGTTGATATGGTTTGCAAACAGAAGCAACAAGTCCCAGGCTAAAACCGAGGCTGAGAGCGAGCAGACTTGAGGTGGGGTTGGAGAGTAACCCCTGAGGTGAATGGGCAGGAGTTGATGGTTACTTGAATACATTATGCGAACTGAACTAAACTACTAGAATATGAAAAACACATTCCTGCCTGTATCAGATAACTTTATAAGTTAACTTCCAACAACAAAAAGTTTTCTTCACGGACTGACTCAAACTTAAATCGTTACCATCACCAAACCTGTGTCTCATTGTCGGGGTGATGAAAGCGTTATTGTAGCTCCAGATGATCTGATCCTCTCCAAGAAGTCTGGCCCCAGAGTGGCAGGCGTCAGGCAACCGCCCTTTAATCCACCCTCAAGTGATTTAGTATACAACAATGATGCCGCAGCTTGGCTAAGAAAAAGCGCCGTGGTGTGATAGGAACCGGACGGATAAGAAAAGCTCGCAAAAACCTTCGGGGAGCTCTCATTGTCTGGTTTAGCCATCGCTTGAAATTTGACAGGTATTTTCTCGGATTGTTTGATATCGGGACCAGACCCTGGAGCTGGCATGAAGAGACGCAATAGTTTCAACAAAAGCGGACTGGACATCAGGGTCTCTATAACACTTGACTTGATAAGCTCTGAAAGTCCACCCAATGTCGAGTTAACGCTCTGATACTCGTTATACTGGAAGTTCGGCCCATATTCGCTCCTCGAGCCTTGCAGTAGACCCCAGGTCCTATGAACAATGGCGCGATTTGTCAAAATACCAACTGTGGAGTCCGATAGCAGACCAAGATCGGGGTCTTTGCGTAGGTGGAGCATGTTTGTTTGAGGAGATACAGTGGTGCCTTTTATTGGAGATAGATGCCATGGATCCTTCGATTCATTGGCCTGATCGATCTGTAATTGGTCTGCTTCACCCTGTAGGATAGATTCAAAGGTGCCACCGCTAGGATCAGAACTATCTGAAGTTTAGCTGGGATGAATCAAGGTAATGGAAAATAAGATGACTTACGTCAGTTCCTTAACTGCGAAGACGACCTCCTTTGTGCTTCCGCCAAACGAATCTCTTAATTCACGGGCTGCCGCCCATGAAAGCAGATCCTCGGGTCCCGCAAACACGCCACAAGCGTGGATCAGCTGGAGGGTCGTTAGAACGATGTCATCATGGTTCCTAATATCCAAGAATAATTGACTTACAGCTACACCGGACGCTTTGGCAGCCTCATGGTAGTTTTTAATCCACGAGTGGATAAGAGGGATGTCTCCAGAACTACTATTGTTAGCTTGGAACCTCAAGAAAAGCTCCGTGTTGACCTACGTATCAACATAGTCAGTTCGGTGCCTGACACACGCGTCCACCACTGTAGTTCCGACTGTCCAATAAGACACGACACTGATGCAGACTCGTGCTTGTTGCACGACATCTTCGACCTGCTTCTTATGTTCCAGGTCAACGATTTCAATGGCTGCTTGTACATTAGCACCCCTAGCACCGGACTGAACCCGCCGACATCAACAAAACATACTTGGTTGTGACCTGTCCGGGTGGGATGATCTCAATTCTGCTGCAAGTTCATGGAGCTTTGCCTTGGATCTCCCAGCAATGGCCCACTGGAGGTCATTGGGTAGTTGTTGAGCGATGAAGTGTGTTGTTAACTTCCCCGTATAACCAGTTGCCCCAAGTACCAAAATGCCATACTTTCGAGTTGGCTCTGCCATTGTGGTTGCACTTGTGTTCAATGCTGGTAGTTTGCAAAGCTGAGATTTCCAGTGGCCAATCGGGGAGACTGGCTGTTATATATGCTGCCTTAGTTAAATAGATTGCACTAAATTTGGGAGGCCAAATGGCGGTATCGTATTTTAGCGTATGAGAATACAATAGAACGCGTGTTATTTGTGGTGAGGCAAATGTTTTCTGTCTTTCGTTCGAGCTCAAACATCTTTTCCGCACCTCTCCACCACAAAACTCCGCACTCCGCAAGATTTCCTGGTTTTAGCCCAGTAACTGAGTCGCCCGGAATCCTTCGGAGGGAAATGTATGAAGGAACTATACAAAGATCCAGCATCATGAATTGGGCAAGGGCGGAGTTTCGCTTAATAGGTCAGACAACCCCTGGTCTATGGTTAACCTGTCCTTGTGGCAAATGGAGCCTGGTGCGTTAGATGCTTCGTCCAATACTCTACTTGGTTAGAAAGCAGCGCTTTCCAAGTAAATTTATGCAAGGACTTGTGCCACTGGAACACTATTGCGCTAAATCAGTCATGGTTGGGATCTAATTTTCTTGTTCTAATGGCCAGCCTTTGAGCTCCATCTAACTGCATGTGAAGGGCTTGATTTGCTTTTTGAAACAGGGAATCCATTTGTCCAGTTGTATCATATACGTATTAATTTTATTGGTCTGTGAGAACGGCTAGATTAACATGTGTTTTCTGGAAGTCTAATCGAAGTCAACTCAGTTGGCTAGGATTGACTGTGAATCACACACAGCCGTGCACCATGACTAGGTACGTACTCATTCACCATCTGAGTACCTAAGGTAGTGAGCACAGGTGAATATCCTCTTTTCTCATCTGTTCTTTCGCTACTTGCAGAGTAAATCATCGACCAACCACTGCGACAACTTCCATTCATGGCTTCACCCAGGAGTTCCATCACTAGCCTTCCCGAAATTGTCCTCAGAATCGTTTTTGAAGATGATGCCCTCAAATAAGAAGATATCGCTGCACTTCGGCTAACTTGTCGAGCCTTCGTTCACGCCGCAAATTCCATCTTGTTTCGTCGGATACATATCTCCTAGCTCTACCATGATCGGGACATATTCATCACCATTTGAAATTCTCCGCACTTGGCTCAACATGTCTACGAGATCGAGTGGCAGGAAATCTCGTGGTTCCCTGGGTATTTCCCACAGCTGCCGGATCTAAGACGTGAAGAAGAAGTACACGATCCAGAGTTTCGAGACATGGTGGAAACACTGGACTTACTCGCGGGTCGCCTTATTTGGCTCCCAGCCCTCTCCCTGGCCCTGCCGGATTTGAATGGCGATATTGTCACAAGTCGGCGTGATCAGGCAATCAGCGGGTTTCTTGGCGAGTTTTGCAAATCTTTGCGGCTTCTTCCCAACTTTTCCACTGTCATTTCTCAAGCAATGCCAGCAGATCGTTTGCTCCACTGGTGTTCCGAATACCCATTCGAGGTGAAGGTGTTCCAAGACCATCATCTTTCCATACCCGGAAAATCTTGCGCTTGGGGGAATACCCTGGGAGCGATGGGCATTACCTTTCCTGTTGCCTGCCGTAGAATCCCTCGAGAATCGCCCTATTACACTACTGCTGTGGCGCGATGAGTCTCACGGAGCCAGCTGCCTTCGACCATTGCCATCAAACCAAGGCTTTCAAAATCTCGTTTCAATATACCTTTCTGTGAATCCAAAGAACAGCAAGGACAATTACGCTCATCTTCAGGCTTGTCTTGAGGCCTGCAGAAACGTTCGCTATCTTGCTCTTGAGTTGCGTGATTGCCTTTGGTACTCCACGCTCCAGTTAAAGCTCTACGCATCGATTATGATGGCAAAACTCAATGGTCCCGATTGAATTCTATCTCCCTTTCAAATTTTTGCTTCCTTGGAAGATATGAACGACAGCTTCTCTCCCTCATCAAGCATAGCGAGGAAAGCCTGCGTCATTTGTGTTTGGAGGACACCAAAGTCTCTTTCAACCTGATAAACGAGCTAGCCAAGATGTACCCTAGACTGTCTCTCCGATCTCTAAGAATTTGCGACAACAGGGCTACTGGAGATTCTGTGCGTGTACCCGAAGCCATATTTCTCAACTACGTCAACAATGGCACCCCCGTCCTTGGCTCTGGTAACAGGGGCTTTGATCAAAGCCGGTTCATTCATTATCTGCAAGGCTCTTGTGCTACTCGCTTCCTATTCACCTTCGATGGGGAAGAGGCTTTGATGCAAGAAGTAAAGGTTATGTTGGAAAACGAGAGGTCATTCCTTCTGTCACCCGGCCGTTGGGTTGAATTGGAAAATGAGAGCAATGAGACAAACCCTTCAGAGTCCCATCTCGCCAATGCGCCCCGGTGGGTTTTTGATCGATTCTATCACGAAGACAGCGACGATGGAGAGGTTTGGGTCCACCAAATCGAACAAGAAAATAAGCATAAAGGACACAAAACAGAGTTATGGAAATTCACTAACCGTGACGGCGAAGTCGCTTGTGGCCAGTACCCGCTGGACTGGTGGGAGGACTGGGACCCTAATAACGGAGATTTAGCAGAGCCTACTCCGTATTGTGACGATCTTTTCTATCTCGTGGCTAGGAGACAATCAGTCTTTATGGCTGGATACAAATCCTCGCGATCACCACTCGGGGCTATTGGGTATGATGAGGATGAGGGTGAATTTGTCTCAAAGCGTATGGGGGAAATGTTTAGGTTTACTCATATAGCCATGTGTGATACGGTTGCGGTTCTTAGGACAGGATTGTGAGAGGCTTGGGTGTTTCCTTTACGTTGCGTGGATTATGTATTCTACCAAGACCCCGTTGTGTTTCTAAACTCTTTTTGTGCATTTCCGTGTTTTGAAACCGGAACATCACCTCAACTAGACCAACCGTAACTTGCCAAGTGGTGAGGAGCGAGTTTGCCGTACTTGGTGTGATGGGCGCTCGTGTATTTAGGGTAGGCCGGCCTCAAGTGGGGAGTTGCATCACACAGATTTGCCAGTCAGCAAGTCGTATCAAATCAAATATCACACCAAGGTCGACACTAACTCCCTCGCAGCTCCTTGGCGTGCGTCTCGTTCATCCACTCTGCCCAAGACCCTCATTCTGCGTCCGTTATCAGGACGCGCACAAGGTCGTGGGCGCGTACACGATACACGCTCTGGCTGCCCCCGATGAAACACCAGATTTTCGTCATCGCCAAGGCCGGCAACTACTATCGATCGCTGGCGGCTATTGAGAACCCCAATCTGTCTGGCCTGGAAGTCCTCAAGCGCTGTCTGTTGCTCCTCCGAATTTTCTCGCATCCGAAAAACCGGATTCCACTCCAACAAGAGCTTCGCTTCGCCAAAGAGTTCTTCCGTGATCAACCACCACCTGCTGCATTACCAACGGACGCACTGGAAAATGCAGATGCATTCCATCGCCCCTGTCCATTTCCGTTCACGACGACATGTCTCATTGTCGGCGGCTCTTTCGACTGCGACAATGGCCGGATAGATGTTGTGTTCGAGGAACTCTTCGGGGTCGGATATGGCCAAGAAGATACAGAAGACGACATGACTATTCTTGATATTACAGACCCCGGTAATATTAAGTATTGCTTTATGAACATGCCACGTAAAATCAACCTCCGCTCAGATATCATCGGGTCGCAATCTAATAGCAAGCAGAAGAGCCTAAAAAAACCGAGGGACGCTTGCCACGCATTGTGAATGAACCCCTTAATGGGTGGCAATATCTGGAATCATTCTACAAGATCAGCGATAAAATAGTCCAACAGAACATCCACGTTCTGGAATCACTCCAGAAGGTGCTTCTCATCACCACCCATACTCTCGCAGGTAAATATCAAACTAGATCGTATTGAATGGTGCTTCAGAAGCTGATATTCACACGAAGATCTGTGGCCCTGGGTTACTTGGGATGTGGCTGGTTACACGGCTGTCCAGTCTGGTCCACTGCTTGGGCCAAAGGGGCTCTTACAGCAGACTGCCGCAGCTTTGGTGGATGCTGTCCTATTCCACAATGATCAGGACGACCTCAATCCCATCACGGATTTTATCCAACAAGTGCCCAATGTCCGGCCTATTCTTCGAGACGCTATCCTCGAAAGGGCGGATGAAGTGGGCAAGACCGCCGTATCCTTGTCCCTTCTTAGTCTTGTCTATGAAGGAGAACAGCACCTTGACTGGTCAGCATTCGTGAACTTGGACGCTCCAGGTTTATCGTCTGTCCTTCAGACTTTGTCACGCCAGCAAGTTGCTTCTATCAATCTGTCTGGCACAAAATTCTCAGAGGCAACAAGTGAACTTTGGTCCTCGCTATCACACCTCGCCCATCCTAACATCTACCTGCTTGAGCCTCCTTCTCGATTGGACGATGAGTCTAGTAAAAGTATAAGCACAGAGTTCACCACATTATCACCGCAACCAAAAATCAATAGATTGGTCATGTCTAGCCTAATGTCTCGTCCATTTCGACCTCGATCCGGCCAGCTCTTTCCAGATACAAGTGCGGCTCCGCCCCTGGTTGAATCCTTTCCGATCGTTCAGTTACTGGTGAGCCATGGTAAAGAAGGCGCCGTGGATAAGTTATTGCCGGTGTGGCCCTATGAATATTTCTTCCTTGGAGACGCTTTCCTTAGCCCAACGAGATTCATCACTGGCCTGTTTCGGTATATGAGAAATATGATTGGGCTGCGTGCCTCGTTCGATAATACAAGTGGATTTGATGCCGCCATGTGCTTTGCAGCCAGTTCATCCTCATTATCCGATGGGGAAATCGGGGAAATAAATGTTCTACCCGCGGACATATTCAATTTCAGCCGACTCAGCTTCCGCTCTGTTAGATTGAGTGGCCGCTACTCGGAAATGAGGGACCTTGTCCCAGGCCAGTGGACCGTGCTGTTAACTCGCACGGTATCCTTCCCAGAATCTCTGGACTTGGAAGCGGTTGCTACCGATAGAAACGTTACTACTAAATTCCACTGCGCCTTTATGCGCCCGAAACGAAAGATTTTGGCAAAGAGTCGTGCCAAAAGAGATGTCGAGTTACAGTCTGAAGATATCGATGTTTTTGATCTGCGAGGCTTTCTCCAGGAGACAATCCCGCACGCTAATTTTAATGACTTACGCCCCCTCTTTGAGCAACTTATCGAACACACCTCTCCTAAAATTGAAAGACAGCACACCTCCACAAATATACCCTCTCAAGCTCACGACAAGTATGACCGAATATTGGCATATCTGAGTGCCGAACAAGCGTGTAACTTGGTTACACGGTTTATGGACAATACTGTAGTTGTCCAAAACCGCAAAGAGAAGATAAAATACTGGACCAGCACCTAGTCAATAAGTGAAGAAGATTCTATGGTCTAAAAACTTGGTCCTATCACGCCACACTTCAGATGGTACCTATAGTGCACTGCTTTCACCGCATAATACACCTCGGCGAGCAATACATTCTCTAGAGATCATGTATTGACAAAGAGACGTTTGGCGGTTTGGCGGTTTGGCGGCTCCATGTAGCCTGCACACAGCACTCGAGAAAATTCACTATTATGGTCAAAACATGACTACAGCACTAAATGAAATCTCAATATTCCCCTCGTTGAAAATCCCCCTCTTGAGCTTGGTTCATAGGACCGCCAGTATCCTAGTTGGTTATTTATGATCCCTGAAAGGCGTATTGCTCCCTACATGTCTTAATGAAGCAACACATCTTCCCCCTCACTTCCCAACTCGTGCTTGAATTCGCATCAGGAGATTCCTACTCGGCAATATCTCAGTAATGATACCATACCGGTCCTTGGGTTAGATTAAAAACTCAGAAAGGAGCTTTGAAGCGGGACAGCACCCAGGTTTGTTATTGTCTATTCAGATCTATTCGATTAATACTGCAAGACTACACCAAAACGCGAAGCTTGAAAATATAGCTAAGAACTTAAATGGCCAATTGCTCTGTTGTAACCTTCTGTAATTCAAACCATGAAGGGCAATGTTCCACTAGTTGAATCCTCTACCGAGCCCATCAAGAACGTACGGAGGTACAAATTTCGGCTCTCAAGAATGAACTTGGCCCGGCGTGTTCCCAGGGTATCGCTTCCAGGAGCAAGAAAGAATTCTCCAACCATGTTAAACTCTTGTTCCTTGCAGTTAGACACCTGCCAAATCTCGATTCATAGCTCTAATATGCGCCAGGACCACATTTTTTACGTAAATCATACAAAACGGTAATCTAAGGGAGCCCATGGAAGTTCCCCTTGCATTATACACTCTCAAATATTATATTGCTATATTTGTCTCCTTGCGGGCGATACACGAAAAATTAGAACTGATAATATTTCTTATATAGAATTTTTTCTTCAAGGCTTTCATTGAGACCTCTAATTGATTTTTTTTATTCCTTATTTAGAATGAAGTGGGTAGTTGACGGGAGGTGAACGGGGGCAATGGGTAGCGGTCAAAATCTTGTGCTCAATGGACACATTCCATAATACTGAGTACCAAGTCTTAATCAATGTCGCAGATGAGCTCTAGTTTTATTCGACCTTGGATCGATGACGCTATGATCAAATCAAGGCCTCGTGCCTCGTATTTCTTGAGAGACATAGTGCCAAAGTGGCTTTAGAGGGCATTGGATATAGATAATAATTGGCTGAAGAAATCTCCAAAGTCGTCAGCTAGCTCCTCTATGCTCGTAATGCAAAGTGAAATGCAAGAGACAACAGGGAAAATCTGCCTTACTTTCACAAAGGCCGAGAATCCGGCCCTCTAGCTGCATTTTCCTGCAGGTCATTCCCCAGCTGAAATTGGATCCCGCCGACTGACTTCGCCGACATCTACTCCGGCCTCTCACAATAGCCTAGCTCGCCAAAAGTATTGTCAGCGACAGCTTGATGATGAACATTGATTGGTTCAAAATAATAGATGAAACGCAAGGTCACCGCTTGTTGTCTGTGCGCAACTACCAAAACTGCCCATCGTAGCTCAGGTCCCCGCTTACCTCGCCGCTTATTACCTGCATGGCTGAGTCACTATGCCCCGAAGCTGAAGCTGAAGTGGCTTAGTAGGACGATAGCATGTTGTGAAAAGCAGTGTCACTAGTGAGACAATGGAACGGTTAGTTTGTGTATATAAGAGCCTATGAGACCCTTTGATCTTAACAGCAATTTGCTTCAACAACTTTGACCTTATCAAGATGAGAAACACAATCTTTGGACTGTTTACCCTAGCGACTGCCGTCGTAGGGAGAAGTTGCGGGTCTCGCCCAACGACGACAACAACAACCCCCCAGCCTCCGGACAGTACACCCAGTCCTCCCATAGTCAAGCCGTCGGTTGAACCTTGCAAGCTTCCAGGACGCAGTGATGTTTATTCGAGCGTCGGCTTCGATTTACCCAACGACTGTGTCTCCGGAACCGGGACGTTGAACGCCTTTATGATATTTGTCGATTTTTCAGATGCACCAGCGCCTTCCAATGATCCACCATCAAACCTACGCGATTTCTTAGAGCCAGCAGCCGAGTGGTATTCCAAAGCCAGTCTCGGTGCCCTGTCACTTAATGTGACCGCAGATGTTTCGCGTTATTACCGTATGCCTGCGTCCGCGGCCTCATATCACTGGGAGACTGGACTTACCTATGCAGAGCATCAAGTCTACATCCAAGATGCTCTTCAGGCCTACACAGCTAATGGTGCAAACCCACCACTACCGGAGACAGAGATCCTCTATGTTGTGCCGACTCGAGCTGCCAGTGGATACATCACCAGATCGATTGCTTTCAATGGCCGCACCAATACACGAGAAGGGGTTTACGTAGCCAAAAGGGCCATCACCTTCGGTACAGACCTTTTCAACAGTTGGGGATATCAGACATTGAATCATGAGAGTGGACATGCAATGTGCCTCCCAGATTATTATCCTTACGCTGATGGATCAGATACACGTGAGTATGTCGGTGGTTGGAGCGCGATGGGTTTCCTCGGCGGCCCCGGCGTGGACTTTTTTGCTTGGGACAAATGGAGACTGGGCTGGATCAAGGACGAAAATGTCGACTGCGTGTCAGCTAAGGGAACCACTCAGCACACCCTTACACCGATCGAAGTCAAAGGTGGTACCAACGCTGTTGTCATCGCCCTCAGCCAAACGACAGCCGTCGTAGCTGAAGCTCGCGCTGCCGAAGGCTTGGACAGCAGCATTTGTGCTTCTGGTGTGTTGTTATATAAGATTGACACGACTGTTGCCTCTGGCAGCGGGCCCATCCGGGTGATAGATACAAAGCCTTCTAGCGGCGGCTGCAGTGGAAACGAGCTTAACGACGCGCCGCTATCTTTGGGCCAAACACAGAAGCCGTACGATTCTTACGAAATACCAGGCTTGGGAGTTAATGTCAAGTTGACCTCCGAAACCGGAGGGGAGTATAGGATTACCGTCGAGTACTCGTAAGAATCCGAGGAAGTCGAGTGTTAGTTGGGCTGCGGCTGATATTCGTCCTGAGTTGTTAAGAGAGGGCGCCCAAGAATTTGGCGTAGGAAGGCTTACATAGAGAGATGGCAAAAGAGATTACTCAAGAGCTTTTAAAGTGCTCAAAAGGGATGACCTAGTATATTGTCTTTGTGTAGGAAGAGCGCAGTTAGAATAAAAATCACCCCTGAACTGAAGTTCTTGTATCCTATGTAATCAGTGAGGAAATAGAAATTCAGATATAGGGTTACGCCTACGCATGAAATATGACCGCTACAATGTGGTGTCTACTAAAACGCTGATACATGTCAATGATAAGCCCACCTCCCACACAATGAAAGTCTCAACTTAGACCGGGAAACATCTTTCTTCAAAGCCTACTCAACCTCCACTTCTTGTGGACCACTGCGCAACTAAGTAGGAGGTTTTTGCCAGGATAGAGGGAAACAGCAATAAAGCTGTACACCGGAATATATTTATAAGCGATGTACTGAGTCGTATTAGGAAACAACAACCATGAGTTATGAGTTGTAGACTGTGCCATCCTTCGGCAAGTTTCCATTGATCAAAAAGTCATCCATGGCTTTGCTAGTCTCCCCGAAGAGTATGTAGCTGCTGTGGCCCGCCCCGTCTCTCCAAACAGTAACAGCGGACGGAAGCTGGTTTCTGACAGCCTCCGCCCACACCGGGCTGGTCTCCGGATCGTAGAACGCATTGACAAGCATCAGGGGAGGTAGCTTGGCGACCTGGCCGGCATCCAGCCGATGGGGTGGGTTGCGCACGGGAGTCGGCCAGCCAACGCAATGCACCCTAGCATCTAGGGACTCGCTGGCCCCTCGTGTTAATGGGGTGAGAGCGCTCGCGAGGTCCACGATTCGTTTCACGTCGGTGGCGGAGCGGATTGTGGTACCGTAGTCCTGGCACCACACAGCACGGTTGGCGAACTTGGATTCTGAAGGGTTCTCATCCACGTCCTTCTGAAATAGATTGCGAGAAAACGCCGAGCCGTCGCCGTTGGCTGCCGCGTAGAGAACACCGGCGAGCGTTGACCAGTTTGCGTCTATGAAGCCCGCGTTCGACTCCTTGAAAGCTAGCCTATCCTCCGTGCCGAACAAAATATCTTCACCGGTGGCGACTGTCTTACAGGTGCCGTTGCATTGAGGCGCAGGTATGGAAGAGTTGAGGACAGTAAGGTTCTTGAATAGAGCCGGAAGGTCCTTGTCCGCGATGGGGCATTCATCGGGGGTCTCCTTGCACCAGGCAAAGAATTGCTTCAGAGTTGCCTCGTAGGTCTGCGTCTCAGTCATGATGCCGTAGATGTCATCACTTGGGGCATGATCAATGACCGCGTCGAGAATAAATCGGCCGACATGCTCTGGATAGAGTTCGACGTACATTTGACCCAGAAGGGTGCCATACGAATATCCGATGTAGTTGAGCTTTTCCCCACCGAGAGCCTGGCGGAGCAGTTCAAGATCCTTAATCGTCGAGACTGAGTCCATAAACTCTACAAGAGGTCCCGTCAATCTGAGGCAACTTTCTCCAAGGGCTTTGTTGTGGGTGACCAGTGAGTCAAAGCTCTCGTCATCCATCGCGAGGATCTCTGGCTGGTTGTTCCAGATGTCCTTGTCGCAGGAAATGGGGTTGCTCAAGCCAATACCGCGGAGGTCTACGGAAATAATGTCGTATTTTTCAAGAATTTCTTGGCTGAAGGGAGATAAGCCTTGGCTTAAAGACTGAAACATTATCAAAGAGCTGGCGCCAGGTCCGCCGTTGTTGAAGACGAGATTTCCCAGGACGGGAGCTGTGCCATTTCCTCTGCGACGGGAGACGAACAATTCGATCGTTCCGGTCTCTGGGTGATCGTGATCGATGGGTACTGTGAGTGTGCCACACTCAAACTCGTTTGTCAGGTATAGCTCTTGACTACACTTAGAAAAGCTAATAGTGCTTGACACGTCCTTTGCTTCCGAAGAAACACTACCCACCAATTGGACCAGCGAAGCAAAAGCCAAAGCTAGGCCGCGGATCGTCAGTGTTGGAGCCATGATGGTATAAATATTGTATAATCAATCAACGAGAGTGGGGGGGGGGGAATAAGGGGAAATAGAAGAACTTCACTTAGATCTTGTCAAGAAAAACTTGGAATGCTGAGAAATGAAGTCGATACATAAACAGGGCCAGAACATGGTGATGGGAAGCAAATTTATACGATCACGCCAATAGAGGCTAGAAGATAGCCCTACGACAGATGCGTTCGTTATTAGGGCAGCCTTAAAGCCGAGTCAACATTCCAGTGTTGCTATTAGGTTTAAAGGATATCGAGAAGAAGTGGTGCCTCGCCTAACAGCCGAGCTTAGTTGGTTCAGACTCGCCTAAATGTACCTAAATTAGTATTATCCTAAAACCAATGATTGATGGATGGGTGAAAGGGCAGACCATCTAATCCAAGTATAAATAAAGGCGCCGGCAAACTTACCAATTTGACTGATTTTTGGTGGAGACATGGTCGTTCCTGTTTTTCAGGGGGCTTCTGCTGCACGTTTGAAGCAATATTTCTAATAAAACCAGGAAATGTGTACACACAGGGTTAGATAAATAACTGGACCAGAATCGCAGTTGGACTACACAAGATAGGCCCGGTAGCTTGATTTTCAGGGGCAACTCAAGATCGAACGAGCCAGATGGCTAAACCATGTGGTTCCTGTAAGTTAAGACTAATTACCTTAGAGAATAAGAAAGACCAATTTCTCTTAAATATTCCTGATACGTCTCAGAGCTATCAACATCCCTCCTCCTCATCAGTGCACCTCTGGTTGAGTGCGGAGGAGTTAATCATTTGAGTGTCGCCCTAATTTCTTACAGGCTTACCTCTTCGCTGAAATAATGCCATTCGTGGTAATTATAATCCGCTTACGACGCGTGAATGCTAGGAAAATCGGAGACTTGGCATCAGGAGTATCGGAGTGCAAGACGAGGAGTACCGGAATGCTGGAGGAAACTAGACTTGGCAAGCCTTAACCCCGATATGATAGAATACAAAAGCCAAATATGTGAGGAATACAATCGAAACTATGTATGAGTCTTCATCCCTATCCTCCCTTGACACCTAACATTGAACAATACGCCATGTTCCCTCATCATGCTGTTAGCAAGTGCTTTGCCCTGTTCTTAATGGCAGATTATTCGATTGCTCAAAGCACTTTACTCAAGGGGGGGACAATTATTAGTTTCGAGGAAGGAGAAAATTCCCTGCAGGTCATTCGAGATGGTTCTCTTCTGATAATACAAGATCGGATCACTGGAATATACAGGGCCGGAGAGACACCTGATTCCAGTCTAAACTACTCGACAGTTGACGTTACAGGCAGAATCATCACACCAGGATTCATCGATACTCATCGCCACGGCTGGCAAACCGGCCTTAAGACTCTCGGATCAAATACTAGTCTTTGGGAGTATTACGATCGTTATTCTGAATATGCGGCGGGAAGTTCCTATGCTATCGAAGATGTCTATATTGGCCAACTTGCAGGCCTTCTCGAAGCTCTCAATGCCGGTGTAACTACCACCCTTGATCATGCGCACCACACTTGGTCCAATGATACCTCAAAAGCAGGGATTCAAGCGAGCATCGACAGTGGGGCCAGGGTGTTTTGGTCATATGCGTTCCATGACCTACCGGACTTCACAGTTTCTGAGCAGTTTGCTAATTTTCGAGATATTGCGGAAGTGGGAACATTTCAGAACACAGCTACAACTCTTGGAATAGCGTGTGACTTCTTTGGACCTGATCCTACCCTCGAAAATGTTCAGAGGGTTGTCGAACTAGCCTTGTGGGTAACTGTGCCTGCTCGTCAAAATGATTTTGCTGACCACATCACAGAGAGTTTAATGTCTCGGTGGTCACTACGCATACAGTTGAGGGGCCTTTTGGAGGTAAGTGTGACCCAAAGCCTCGATATACTCTAACTAACATATAGTAGCAAGAAACGGCCCTCTAGACGTCCATAGCGCCGGGCTCCTCAATACTACAATTCCGGTCATCTTCTCTCACGCGTCTTTTCTCACTTATCAAGATCACCAGCTACTCCAACTCACCAATCAGTACATTTCAATTACTCCTGAGTCCGAGATGCATTATGGTCATACACATCCAAACAACCACTTAGCTATGGACCAGGCTGCACTTGGTGTTGATACTCACTTTACCTTTTCTTCCGATATATTGACTCAGGCTAGGATATGGTTACAGAAAGCACGCTATACAATGTATGACTGGGCATTAAAGGCTTGGCGAGTGCCCTCTAATAACCCGATGTCTGCCAACCAGGCATTTCTACTCGCAACACGAAAAGGAGGCTTAGCCCTCCGCCGACCAGACCTCGGGGTTATTTCAGAAGGAGCAAAAGCAGACATTATTGTATGGGATGGCACATCACCATCCTTACTTGGGTGGAATGATCCCGTAGCAGCAATTATGCTGCACGCAAATGTTGGGGATATTGAACACGTTCTTGTGGATGGAAAGTTCGTTAAAAAGGATGGCAAAATAACTAATCCTGACTATCCAAGTATCCGGGAAAGGTTTCTTGAGCACGCTAGAAGGATACAAGACACCTTCCTTGCCATTCCGAAGCCGGCCCCTGCTAAAGACGAGCATTTCAGAGGCGGTGGTGCTGAATTGATGGTAATTCCTCAGCTTGATGTGACTAGGGGAGATGGCAATGGATACGGGACGGACTTTTTGCAGTTTTCAGGAACTCAGTGACGGAAAATGGTACACGGGGTTGAGCCAAGGTGTGTCAAAGTATCAAGCGTAGGAAGCGAGATGAATGTTCGTCCTGTGGGTCAATGACGAGATTCAAACCACCGAGGAGATATTTAGAAATTCGCCGAGGCGAAATTACACGATTCGTGGGCCCGCTAAATCTAATCTGACCTAGCATCCTTTGATCCCACCAATTATGTGACTGGCCAAGGTGATCTAACCCGTAGATACTTCTTCGATTGGGTTTAGTTCTCATTTGAGAGCTGACAATATGGAGCACTGGTCTGATATCTCCCTTTGACCGCGATGAGAGTGCTGGCTCACACACTTCGAGGGGGGAAAGGCTAGTCTGTGATACTTATGGCGATTACCAAATGTAATTGCAAGTCAGGTACTCTTTGAGGGTAAAGGGATACTTTCACCGTGTCCAGATATGCAGGGGTCAGGGTCTTTCGAATGCACTGGGGTTATAACTTATAAGTACACTGCTGTCTCCAAGTTTTTGGCGTGAGTCAATACCAAATAATCTACTCATCCCAGCCACAGGCTTCATCGAATATACACTCTGCCCTCATAAAATCTTTCTTCGAGGGATATTGAGACTTGTTCTGGCTAAAAGCTCGACCTGCATTTGCGATGGCGCACGACCTGAACTGCCTCACCATATCCGAGCTAGAGGCTCTAGCCACACAGCGGCTAGACAAACAGACTCGCGACTACTACAACGAGGGCGCTGACGATGGCATCACGGTAAAAGAAAACATGTCCGCATACCAGAAATATCGCCTCCGTCCAAGAGTCCTCAGAAATGTATCCAATGTAGACAGCGGGGTTAACGTTTTTGGAACTCGTACCAGCGTCCCCTTTGGTGTTGCGCCTGCAGCCATGCAGAAGCTTGCCCACCAGGACGGAGAGTTGGCAACGGCACGAGCTTGTCGTACAAAGGGCGTAGCCTTAGGCCTCAGCTCCTTTTCAACTACAACCTTGGAGGACGTGGGGTCCGCGAGTGGAAGCGTTCCTAATGTGCTGCAACTGTATCTCTTTGAGGAAAGGTCGCATAGCATTAAGATGATTCAGCGGGCAAAAGAAGCTGGATACAAAGCCATTGTGCTTACCGTTGACACTCCTCTGCTAGGCAGGAGGAATCTCGAGATTAGGAATCAGTTTCGACTGCCCCGTCACCTCAAAGCTGCCAACTTTGCAAGCGAGTCTGGGACTACAGGTACTCCGCCCTCGGTTGCCAGCTTGAAAGAGAGCTCCCCTGGCTACCACGATGGAGATCGTCGCGTTCTCCCAGCCGGGCCAGTCACTTTCCACAGTCATGGACCAAACCCAACTCTCACGTGGGAGGAAGCTATTCCCTGGCTGAAGACGGAAGCGTCTCCAATGCAGGTGTGGGTAAAGGGCATCGTAACGGCTGAGGATGCCTTACTAGCTGTTTCCAACCACGTTGACGGGATCATTGTCTCAAATCATGGCGGACGTCAACTTGATGGAACCGTGGCTACTCTAGATGCACTTCCCGAGATTGTCAAAGTTGTAGATCATCGAATCCCCGTCCACGTTGACGGGGGCATACGTCATGGAACGGATGTGTTCAAGGCACTGGCCCTTGGGGCTGACTTCTGTTGGGTCGGTCGCCCTGTGTTGTGGGGTTTGGGATATGGAGGCGAAGCTGGAGTCGAGCTTTGCCTTCGCTTGTTAACGGATCAGTTTCGCCTCTGTATGGGTCTTTGTGGGGTTACAAAGGTCTCCGATATTGGGCCAGAGTATTTGTTGAAGGAAGAGGCAGCTAAGTTTTGGAGTCGGCTGTAAGTTCCACGGCCAATCTCACTCATGTAGATAGATTATCCATGTTCCAGGAATAAGATTGTCTTCTCCAACGCATAATTCAACACGCCAGAAGAAATGAGAGGTTGGCCAAGACATAGAGCCTCCCATTGGCTGTACAGCCTGTGGCAAATCTTGCACCCCAGATCCACCAGATCTCGTGACTTGATCATACCCCATAAATTTGAAGCGTGGAGACTTCCACGCGGGATTTCCTACAATGGGAGTCGTCCGTTGGCCGCCTTCAGCTTTTCGAGCCATGGCATCGCATGTCTTTCTGTGACATGACTTTCTTTCTTACTTATCTACCCATACTATTTATAGCTACCATTGACCCTATGGGCGATGTATGCCTACTCCCCGGTGCGAGCTCCCTCTAATGCGGCCTCTCGGCAGAAGAGAGCCTGCTGTGAATCTTGTCACCAACGCAAAGTGCGATGCGACGTTGGATTTTTTGGAAATCCCTGCACAAATTGTCGCCTAGATAGTCGGCCATGCAGAATACGAGCGCAGTTGAAGAGGTAGGCTTTCATTTGACTTGGATGTCCATGGAAAATCAACCTCTCTGGAAATAGTCTTGTCGCGCTGCTAACATGATAGTCACTTGCTAGAGGAAGGAAAAGAATATCAGATCAACGTGCCTGTGAAGGAACTTTGATCACCAGACGAGATCCGCACACTGATGGCTTACAAACACAAATTCAACCTGAGGCGGCAGAATTTGCCCACCTTGAGGAACCATCAACAACACCTGCTAGGACAGCCCCAGAGGAAGAAGGCTTGAGTAACGGTGGGTGACTCTCGATCATTGCTTACACATAGGCAAACTGCGAAAAGTGCCAAACCCCTAACCCTTGATAAGTCAATCAAACAACAAGAAACGGTGATTCCTTTTACTAATACTAGTTCTGGGTATTTCTGGATAGGCACCCGCCCTTCAACAAACACTTTTGTCCCATTCTATTATCACAAGTATCTTCAGGTGGCAGACTTGCAGCATCTTTCGCCTTCGCAGATACACAATCTTGAACTTGAGGGTTGCTTCCAGGTCCCAAGCCAATCAGTTCTGAATGAGTTTATTCGTCAATACTTCATATACGTTCACCCCTGCCTCCCTTTGGTAAATGAAAGGACGTTTTGGTCCATCTATTCCAGGACCGACAATGGCCAGCGCAAGACCAGTTTTTTCTCCCTGGCCCTTTTCCAGTCAATGCTTTTTGCCGCAACTAGGGTGAGGTAACTTGACGCACGTTTAAGCAAGATATAGCTGACACGATTAAGTTTGTCCCGATCAAGATGATAAATGCTTGCGGGTTCGAAGACCTCAGAAGCGCCAGAAATGCTTTCTATCGCCGCGCAGAGGTGAGAGATGTAGTGGCATCCAACTGCATGTCCGCAAGCTAAAAAAGTGCCACAGCTGCTCTTGGCCCATAACTTGGAACGGGACAATTTTGTGATGGCGCAGACTTGCTTGCTCCTCTCCCTCCAGGCTACTTTATTCGAACCGAGCTTGAATTCAATGTGGCTCTCGAAAGCAATATATCATGCCGAGCATGCTGGTGCCAACAAGTACTTCAGTCAAGCTGCCAGGGACGTCGGGCGCATTCTGGAAAATAAGCGGCTTTGGTGGTGTTGTATCCTTCGTGACAGGATGATTGCTGTCGGCGTGCGTCGTAGCATCCAAGTCACCTCTGATAGATTCGATTTCACAAACCCAGGACTGGAAGAAGCCGACTTGGCAGAAGAGATTGAGACATCCGAGGTTTATAGTCCCGAGATGAAAATTCTCCTGGTCAGAATAATCGTTGCGCAGTGTGCGCTAGCCGTGGCGATGACATGGACCATGACAATAGTCTATCCAACGGGAGATATCTCATCTCAGAGCCGATCGTCTACAGTGTCTCAATTGGTCACTTCTATGGTGGAAATTGAACGAGGGAATACGGAACTGGCAGTTTGGGCTCGCAAATTTAAGACGGATCTCACGGATTGCATCCGCCCAGATCAACGACGAAAAGCACTGGAATCATCTGCGGCAGTATTTGCAGACATGACATTGATCCACTACTAGTATGTGAAGCGCCTTGGGAAACACAATCAGTTCCATGCATTGACCGAATTTCCAAGCTCGACCCAAGTCGCCCTCTACAATCATTTAGCACTGGTACTTCAAAAGCACCAGTCTCAACTTGAAGACTATGAGTTTCGCTTTCACCAGCTTAAAAGCGACTTGCAATTAGCCATCACAAACGTGACAGGCAGATTCAAAGGCTTAACTGAAGAGGGTCTGGTACAGCGTCTTCCAATTAGCGCGTAAGCTCTTATCCCTTCGAGCGATCAAAATTCCTTTCTCTAACTACACGGTCAAATCCCTTGAAGCTAATTGCTCCGATAGGCCACCATGCTCAGCTCTCCCTGTTATCTTAGAAAATCTCGATCTGAAACTCTCGTCTTTGGCAGAAAAAGCCAACTATCAGCGGCAGCTTCGCGGCCCCAACGATATTATAGCTCTCCTGGATGATCAACACGACTATACCGAGTGTGTGAACATCGCGATAAATAGCCTCCTCCCCGTGGCCGATGCAGAAATCCAGCAATTTTTCGCGTCCTGGAACGGGCTAGCTGGGATCGAGGGGGGAGGCACAAATGGCATCAGGTTGACGATGTGGTCCCCCACCAGCTGGTCAGATGTATTCTCGGAGAATCCGATGATCTATCTGCGCCTGTCGATGTCGCTTGATTTTGCCCTTTCCAGGGGAAAAGCGCCGCAAATTACGGATCTACCAGATTGGACATTTGAAACACTGGTTATGCCGACGAATTTGCATCTCATCTCACCATCAATGACACAAATGGCGCTACCAGAAGCGGTTCTGCCGTCAGAAGAGGAACTAAACGGGCTGGATGAGTTGAACGGCGACGATGCTGTTTTGGAAGAGCCGAACCAAGCCTGTAAGACTTCCTTGCAGTTGATATACCATATATGTTGTGGCACTAACGCGTGTGGTACAATATAGGGCAAGTTGGTGAACCTAATATCCTTCGGGACTGGCCGTTTGTAGGGGATATAGAATTTCTTGAGAGCTTATGATGATTAGATTATGTTGATCTTGTTCTGGCTATAATGATCTAATAAAGTGGGCGGTCGGCAAAGTGACTACAGATTGTTTCACGCCGTGTTATCCTCGAAAAGACTATGACATAATGTTGAGAGCTTTATGGAAATGGGAATGAACATCTTGCACCCAATTGACTCTTCGGTTGTGATCATACACAAATGGAACTCCCAGACTCGCAACGTACTGCGCCTAACCAAAATATACTGTAGTCCAACAACCAGGGAGCTGGTGACTGACAATCCTAGAGATCCTTATGTACTGGTGGAGATTGTCTACCGAAAGATCTCAAGGGAGATAAGCGGCTGAAATATATGACGCAACAGGCAGTGGTGCGGGGTTTACAACGCATCAATCTGTTAAACAGTTGACGACAACACCTCGTTTGCTATGGCTCTCTGCTATTCTTGCGAAAGGCTTAATTTCCCAATAGTAACAGAAGGCCAAGCCACCGAAGGACGGACTCTGTTCCGAAGTGTCGCCCGGCTCAGGGCATCCGCAAAAACATGCCAGTTATGCACACTCTTCCTGGATGCTATATCCAGTATCAGGCTCAAGGGTATTCGGAATGGTGAGGTCACATTCTTTTCAGAAGCGCCAAATGCGCAAGGCGACCCGGTGGGCATGTCTCGAGTGTTTCTTCGTGTTGGTCATCAGGTTGGCCGTCACATCAGCGTTTTCACCCAGCAAGGTGTGAATCAGCTCCATATCCTCTTAACTCGAAATCGAATGCCAATATGAATTGACAGATAGTCCTGCCGCCAATGCTGGAATTGCCACTGGAAGGCCATTGTCCAAGGGTTATGACTTCAAGCTCTATAAGCAATGGTTGTCAACATGCAGCCTTAACCATAAATGCGGTGGTGCGATGGGCAGTTCCGAAGATCTACCCACCAGGTTTATTAAGATCAGTGAGGGTGGCACAGTCCCTGAGATACGTCTAGTCTCGTCTGCAGATATCTCAAACCGCTATGCTGCCTTGAGCTACTGTTGGGGCGGCAACTTCACGGGCGTCAAGACAACAGCAGCAGTCCTACAAGAGCACTACAACCGAATTGAGTTTTCTCGCCTTCCAAAGACTATAATGGATGCAATTGAGATCACCAAGTCGTTAGAAATTGAGTATCTCTGGGTGGATAGCCTTTGTATTGCTCAAGACGACACGGAAGACTGGGCTTCTGAGTCCAAACAAATGGCAGGGCTCTATCGCTCGGCAGCAGTTACCATTGTTGCAGCATCTGCAGAGAACGCTAATCAAGGTTGCTTATTTCCGGCAAGGGTCGCTCCTGATTTCGTTGAGGTGCCAATTACTATCGCAGCAACGGGAGACCTCTCAGTGGTGACTTTCGCAAACTATCGGGGCTCAATTTCCAACGATTTTGTCGAAAGTCCATGGAATAAGAGAGCATGGTGTCTTCAGGAGTATGTTCTGTCTCCCCGTCTCCTATACTTCTTTGAAGATCGCGTCGTGTGGCAATGTCAAGAGATTCTGTCAGCAGATGATTACGCGGAACTTCGACGAGACAAAACTGATAGCACAGTAGTGCCGCGGCACTTTTCTTTGCACCACCCGAAAGAGCTGGAATCATGGTTTGTTCTTGTGGAGGAATACTCGGGAAGACATTTGGCAAAATCTAATGACAAACTCATCGCTGTGGCCGCTTTGGCAATACATTTCAGTCCTTACTTAGAGAGTGAATATCTTTCTGGAATCTGGTGCAGAGATATGCACAAAGGATTGCTCTGGCTGTCAATAGACAGCAAGATGCAGACGCCACCGCGAGTTCGCGCCCCTTCGTGGTCTTGGGCAGCTTTGGATGGGCCGGTGAGTCATCTTCACAGATTAATGTCTTCACCGGTGGTCCTGGAATCCACAATCCATAGGTGGAAAAGCACCGAGCACGAGGAGGCCAGTTATAATTGGTCACGGCCGTATTTGTTCCTTACGGCTCGTATGCGGCCAGTCACACGCTCATTCTCTTTAATGAGAAGCCATGAGTTTAAGGAGGTTGCTTCGGTTTCAATGCAAGGCGCACTGCTATTGCATCGCAGCTTAGAGCCTCGATTGCTTTTTGACGCGGAGGACAAAGTTTGCGGTTGGGTCATCTTTGACCAAGAGGATTTTACAGAACAATTGTTCTGCTTGCAAGCTGCTAGAAGCACGCATGAAAGTGTTTTCCAAAGCAACCATGTTATCATACTGAAGCGAAGTGAAGCTAGCAGCAACGTTTATGAGCGGGTTGGAGCAGGGGAGATTCTTGCGTCTGATTTCTTCGACGCTGTTGAAAGAACTGCCGTTATTCTAATATAGAAAGGGAGAGTAGGGGCAATGACACTGTCTCTAAGCATCACAACATCCAGTCTCACGGAAACGGCCAGAAACAATCAGGTGATGATGAGGTTCTGCTTACCGTTGGCAAAATTGCAACATCTAGCGCGTATCCATGGCCGAGAAAGCAATTCGTTTTGCTGCAGCCATTTACGAAGTGATAAACAATGAATTCCGGTTGTTTCGTTATCAGTCTCTTGGGGGTGAGATATCACGGGGAGCCTCACGCTCCTAAGCTGCATATCGACTGGGATATGGGGGAAATTGTCTGGAATGCACCAGTATATCATTAGGCCGCTGAATCGCTTTATGTGAGAACAAAAGCGGCCGCAACCGTAAATAACGTTACGCTGGAGCAGACGAGACAGTGCCTACCAGTATTAGCAACTAGAAGCTAAGCATTCCATGTTTTTACAAGTGTTTCAGCCCTGTTCTCAGAATTTCTCGCGAAGAAGGTTTATTATTGTGAGATCGGCTGGATAGACATCTCATGAGGCAAATTAAATACATGAGATAGAATAAGACTAATATAAATGATGTCTCGCAGGCAGCAGTGGTCGGCCCCAGCCCTTACTGCTTGCTCTTGGTGTCTCAGATCACATTCCTTTCCTCTTATTGCTAACCGTTCAGGGCTAGTTCAACCTTGTGCATGTCCTGCATTAAGATCCGCTCCAGCGATGTGTTGGGGGGCAAACGGAACTGGCATTCCAGCTGGAAGGGATATTAACGATATGAGAACGACTAACCGGAAACCAGGGAAATATGGTTCAACACTTTGCCGTTGACGAACAGCCAGAGAAATCCTCTCTCTCTGCCCTGCCCAAATGCTCATTCCTCTTCCTAGCCAGCCGGGTGCTATTCATGACATCTCCATTGCCTCCCTGCCGCCGTAGCGAAGAGAGTATATACTCGCTACCCACAAGCACACACAGACAAACATCCCCAAATGGCGGCGGCGTCGTCTTCCAAGCCCGGCGCCGGGCGCAGCAGAAAGTTTGATGATCCATCGCTAGATGATATCATTTTGATAGACCAACTCAAATCTGAACGATGGGCTGAGGGCCTTGCCATCAGGCCCAACGGTCACGCCCTGGCGACCATGCTCGAGCACTCGGAGCTGTACTTGGTCGACCTCAACTTCTCAACCGCCATTGCGTACGAAGAGAATGGGCCCGCGGCCCCAAAGCTCATCCAGACGTTCCCCGACTGCAACGCGACCTACAACATCCGCCCGCTGATCGGTACCGAACACGAGGAGTATGCCGTGCTTACCGGCCACTCCGACACATCTCTCGGCAAGTTCGAAAAGATACGTCTCTGGCACCTTTCATTCGGTCCCAGTGGGACAGACACGGCACCTACGATTAGTAAAATAGCCGATCTGCCCGACGCCCTGTTCGGGTTTGGCATGGCCATCCTGACCGAAGATGCAATCGCTGTCGTTGACCCAGTAAAGCATTGCGTCTGGCGTGTGCGCATTTCCACTGGCGAGGTGAACATGCTCCTTGATGATCCCCCCACCATGGCTCCCTCCTCCAAGGACGAAGCGTTTGGAGTCAACCGACTCCAGGTCGCGGCGGGTTACTTATGGTACGGCAACTTCAGCACCGGGGTGTTGAGCCGCGCCCCGTTCGAGTATACTGAGGATGGGCGAGACGTGCGAGTGACTGGCCCTGCCAAGCCCGTCGCTGAAGGGTGTGTACACTGCGACGGAATCGCCGTGCGGAACGACGGAGCGGCCTGTTACGTTGTTAGCTTCACTGAAGGCTGTCTATGGCGGGTGGACGTTGATTCGGAAACAGGCAAGGGCTTACCTGTAGTCATGTTTGAGGACCTCATCTCACCAACAGTCATAGAGCTGATGTACTATCCATTCGACGAGAAACCCACTCTCTATATTGTCTGCTGCGGTGCTTGGAATCCTGAAGATCTGGATGGTGAGCGTGGGGGATATCTCACGCTTGCCAATGTGGACAAGTCAAAGATGCAGATTCATGTCACCGTCGAGCTGACTGTAAGCTATGAGGATGTGTAAAAGATTAATATTATATAGAAGAGAGGGGTTTATCTTACTTTGATCTATTATTAATAATTATATTCTTATCTCTAGATTTTATTTATTTATTTATTTTATAACCCTATATTATTAAAAAAAAACTATATATAGATAAATAGATATAAGATTAAAATATATCTTTATATAGATCTTAGAAACTTTATTATAATAAATATATATTATACTTATAGAAATAAATTAATATTAGTATAGAGAAGTATTATAGTACTTATTAGGATTATAATAAGTAGCTAATAGATAATTAGATAGCTACTTATAGTCTCTAATAAGATTTAATTAAAATTATATATATATATAAATTAGATTATTATCTATATTAATTAGTAATAATTCTATATATTTTTTCTTTAGTAGATAGTTAGAAGGTTTTCTTTTCTATTAAATAAAACTATTTAAAACTAGAAAACTATCTAAAGCTATTTAATTAAGTATTATCTATTAACTATTAACTATTAGTTATCTTATCCCTATCTATTCTTATTTAGAGCTTAATAAATTAATTTAAATTATCTAATATACTATTACTTATATACTTCTTAATTATATATTTTTTAGATTATAATTAATTTATTATTAATAATATCTTATTATTATATAGTATAATAAAATATATATAAATAGATATTAGATTAATATTAAATTTATATTATTTCTAATAAAAATTTCCTATAATAATAAATATATACTATATTTATAGAAATAAATTAATATATAATTTTAAAAGTAACTAATTTTTTTATTTCTAAATATATATAATTTTAAATTAAATTAAAATAAATTCTAATATATTCTAATCTAAATTATATTATTTTAAAATAGAAAAAACTTAATTTTAATTAACTTTTAAAAGTTATCTCTATTCTAATTAGTTTAAAATAGTATAAAATATATTAGAACTATAAAGAAAACCTTAGATTATAATATATATAAATAAATAAATAATTATAATTAAGATATAATTTTTAATCTAATTATATTTTATTTATTTTAAATACTAATAATATATAGTAATTATAGATTATATAATATAAGAATAAATCTAGTAGATATAGTTATTAGATCTAGAGTATTATTAATAGCTTTATTATTATAAATAAGCTTTTAATTATTTAGAAAAATATATATTAAATATATTTATTTAAAAGCTATATACTATTATCTCTTATAATCTCTATTATTTTATTAAGATCTATATTATTTATAATAACTAAAGCTTTATAAATAGAAATAATTATAAAAAATAATATATTATAGATATTTAGTATTAATAATATAATTAATTAATTAATTAATTAAAATAAGCTTTAAGTTAAAAAGAAAAGATAATTATTATTATTAAATAATAAGCTTTTTTTCTTAGAGATTATAACTATAGCTAGACTATTTATATATCTAGCTATATAAATAGCTCCTATTATTAGAGTTTTTAAAATATTAATATCTATATCTAGATTAAAAGTATTTAATTTTAATTTTATTTTATAGTATTAAAAATTTAGATATAAACTATTAATTATATTTTTAGAAAAATTATATAATCTAATTATATATTATTTAATCTTAGAATATACTTTTATTTATAATAAAACTAATAAAAAAAAATATTTATAAAGTAATAAATATTATTTTAATATATTAATAATTATTTAGTTATTTATTTATTAATAAAGTTTAATTTATTATAAGAATTAAAAATAATACTATAAATCTTTTATCTATTTTCTTAGATAAAGAATAATTAATAACTAATTAGCTATTTATATTTAGTATTATTAAATCTTTATTAGAGTAATTATTTATAATTAATTATTATAATTATAAGAATATCTATTATTATATAACTAACTATAGTTTATTATTTCTTATTTTTTAATAAACTCTAGATAGATAATATTATATATAAGTTTAAAGAACTTATTTTAATAAGAATATAATAAATTATAATTAGAAAAGTAAAAATAGTAATTATTCTATAGAATAAAATAAGATAATCTATAGTTTTATAAGAAGATATAAAGTTTAATCTAATAGTTATTTATAAATCTCTATTTAAATTAGAGTAAATTAAATTATAAATTATATTATAACTTTATAAATAGTTTAATTTTTTTTTTAAAATTTTTTTTTTTTTATTATATATAAAAGATATTCTAAGATTAAGCTATATATAACTAGATTTATATAATTTATTTTTAATTAAATTTTAATCTATATCTAATTTTTACTTTTATTTTTTTTACTTTTTTATTTATATAAGTTAAAATAAGATAATAATTTCTCTAAAAACTCTAAAAAGAACTTACTAAATATATAATTTAATTATAAACTCTAAGAGGAAATATTTATTATTTATAATTAATTATAATATCTCTCTAAATTTATTATTACTAATTATTAATAACTAGATCTTTTCTTATAATAATAATAAATATCTCTAATATTATTATTCTCTATAGCTAAAGCCTAATTATTATATATAATTAGGTTCTTAACTATATAATAATAATAATTAGTAAGAACTTTTATATTTTTACTAATAATATAAAATAATTAAGTTTATATTCTATTATTAGATTTCTTATAATTATAAAGCTATTTTTAATTATATAAGCCTAATAGTTATAATTATTAGATCTAATATTATATTATAAAACTTATAAAAAGTAAATAATAAATTTTATTCTATATAATCTAGTTATTAAGAGCTTTAAACTAAACTATTTTCTAATATAATTCTAAACTATCTTTATAATAGTATTAAGGAAATCTGAAAAAATACTAATAGAAAGAAAAACTCTAAAAGAATAATAGTTAATATTATTACTAAGTATAATAGATAAGATAATAAAAAAAATACTAGAAGATTATATTATAATTATAGTAGAAGTATATAAACTTCTTTCTAATAGCTAGATAGGAAATAGATATAATAGATTAATAGAAATAGCTTTAAAAATATATATAGAAACTATTTAAATAGTATAAAAACTTAAAGAATTAATTATATTATTATTTCTAGATATAAATAGTATATTTAATATAGTACTATATAGAAAGCTATTTAAAATAGCTAGAGTAAAAGAGTATTTTAAAAATATTTATAAATAAATTAAAATATTTCTAAAAAAGAGAATAATATAGTTTTAATTTAATAGTAAAATAATAAAGATAATACTAGTTTAAATAGATATATTATAGAGATTTCTATTATTACTAATTCTCTTTATATTATATATAAGTACTTTATATAAAATCTTTAAAGAAGTTTCTAATATATTAATAATAGAGTTTATTAATAATATAAATATATTAAACTTTAGATCTAATATAGAGATAATAAAAAAAGAACTTCTTAGAATATAGAAGAAATATAAAAAATAATTAAAAGTTATTAAATTAATTTTTAATCTAATAAAAAATAAGTTTATATACTTTATAAAGAAAAGAAAAAAGATAAAGAATTAAATATAAATTAGAGATATATAAATTAAACTATATAAAATAGTTAAATTTCTTAATATATAGCTAAATAGAAAACTCTAATAGAAAATATATATAATAAAGCTCTAGAAGAAACTTAAAAGATAAATATTAGTTTTAATTAGAATTATATTATTTATATATAGATATTTATATAGATAAGTAAAAGTAGTTTATAAAGTTATTATAAAATCTATAATAATATATAGAGTATTTATTTTTTATAAATTTATAAAAAAAGAAAATAAATTATAAAGATCTATATAGAGCTTAACTAGATAATAGTTAAAGTATCTCTAGATTATAACTAAAGTATATAGAGTTATACTAATATAAATAATTAAAATAAAAATATTAATATTATCTCTAGATCTCTATATAAATAAAAAAGTAATAAAAATAAAAAAAAAATTTAAAATTAGAAAGATTATAAATATAAATTAAATTATAATTAATATAATAATTAAATTAATAATAAATTAATAGAAATAAAAACTTTAAAAAATAAAACTATTAAGAATAAATTAGTATTAAAAATAAGAAAAAAACTTTAATTTAAAAGCTAAATAAAAAACTAAATAAAAAACTAAAATAAATATAATATAAAGAAGATCTAGATAAATATAAATAGTAAATATAATAATTAGATTTAATAAAAAAATATTTAAAAGATATAATTTTCTATAAAAATATAAAAGTTTCTTTTTAATATAAATAAAAATAGAAAGAATAAGTTTAGTTTTTTTTCTTTTTATAAAAGAAATTTCTAAAATAAATATATTTATATACTAATATAAAGAAGGGAAAGAGAATATATATTATATTATATTATAATACTCTAAATTTAAAATCTAATAAACTAAATTAAATATTAGAAAACTAATATAGATTTAATATAATCTTAATATTATAATAAACTAAAAATAAAATATATAAGAAATTATAAAATAGATTTTAAATTTTAGAATATTAGAATAATATAAATTTATTAAAAAGCTAGATATATTAAAAGAAATATATAAAAACTCTAAATAGAATCTAATCTATATATAAATAGAAAATATATTAAATAATATTTAGATCTAGCTAATATAAATAATAATAGAACTATTATATATAGTTAAATAAGTATAAAAAAGTATAAAAATAATAAAAAAAAAAATATTAGTATTAAGTATATAAACTAAAGATTTTAAATTATAGAACTAATTAGAGTTTAGAATAAATTTAAAATAGAAATTAATCTAAGATTTTTTAAATATATTAGTATTATAATTAATAATAATTCTATTAGGAATATACTTTTTAAATTTATTAAAATTATTATTTTTAATCTTACTTTTATTATATATTCTATTAGAAAGAGATATTTTTATAAAGATATTAAAAATAATCTAGATTAATTCTAATATAACTATAGCTATAAAAGCTAGAAGTTTATATAAAAGCTAGTTCTAATTAAAAATATTTTAATTAAA